CTTTCTTTCTTTCTTTCTTCCTTCCTTCCTTCCTTCCTTCCTTCCTTCCTTCCTTCTTTTCTTTCTTTCTTTTTCTTTTTCTTTTCTTTTCCTTTCTTCCTTCCTTCCTTCCTTCCTTCCTTCCTTCCTTCCTTCCTTCCTTCCTTCCTTCCTTCCTTCCTTTCTTTCTTTTAGAGCTCAGTTCACGAAAGAGAAGAACCTGTTTAATAATGAGGATATCAGCTCATAGGTGAATTACTTTAGAGTATTTAAAATAGCATCCTTTGTAATCTGCCATGGCATAGACCCTTCCTACTTGAGACTCTTCTCTTCATGTCTACGAGAAGTCTGTCCCCAGTAGGGGTCTGTACATCTCAAGTGTAGCTCTTGTCTTATATCATGGCTCCTGATGCAAATGAAGGGAAGGAAGGGTAAGTTCTGCTCCTTCATAGGGAGGAAAAAATCCCACACAAACCTTGCTCAAGGCAGATTTTATGTTCATTTCATGGATCTCAGACAACATTGTAGAAACAGCTCAAATCCAGTTAGTACTCTTGGGATGCATGTAGGGAAGAAATTTGTATTTAAGATTTGGAGGAATTTGATGTATGAATTATTTCTAATAAGCCAATTCTGTAGTCAGAGGAATAATATATTGCTAAACTTTGACACAAGAACACTGATTGCTGAGGTTGGTCATCAAGCTGGTTAGCAGAGCTTGACAAAAAAAATGTCTGGGAGTCTCCCATATGGTGCTGGGTTTGAAAACATGAAAGGGTCATAGCGAGCTGCTGAGACTTAATGCTGTGACCAGACAGCCAGGAGAGGCCACTGGTGAAGGTGCAGCCTCAGTTATAGTGGAGATCTCAGCATATTGAAGATAACTACTAAGGACAGTAGCAGGTGTTGAGTGGGGCCAGCCTATGCCTATGAGACACTGTGTGTGTGTGTGTGTGTGTGTGTGTGTGTGTGTGTGTGTGTGGTGTGGTGTGTGTTGAAGATGTAGATGGCAGAGCCAGAGTTGTTCAAGCCATCTGGAGCCAGAAGATGATGAGTGCATTCTAGATATCAGGTATTGAGCTACAGGATTTGATTTATGTTGCTGGATATTGGGTTTTGGTTTGATCTGATTGTAATTGTGCCTTGGTTCTTCCCATTTGCAGTAAGAATGTATGTAACTTATTTGGGGTTTTATAGGTGCCTGCAGTTTAGAGATTAGCTGGAGGACATGAGTTGCCGGAGGGTGAGTCTTGAAGGTTTATAATCTGGCTTGGTTTCACCCAGGCGCTCTGCTTACTCTTCACCACCATGTGAGAATCTCTGCCCCAAGCTCCTGCAGGCATGGACTTACATGTTCCCTTTGTATATGTTTCCTACTTTAATAGACCACATCCTTAAACCATGAACCTGCACAACTGTTCTTTCCTTGAGTTGCTTCTGTCCGGCAGTGTGTCATGTGATGAGAAACGTAACTTCGCAGACCAACTACCTGAGCTGTAGGTCTGCCTGCTGTGAACTTGCTCTAACAGGAGCCATCTTAGCAGGGCCTGTTTTAGGATGGAGCTTAGTGTTAGGCAGACAAGAAGCCATCAGTGAAGCAGATAACTGTGGGTGGCTGTTTTGTCCAGAATGGCTACAGTAGCTCCTCTCCCTTGCCTTTCTTTTCTGTGTCCATGTTACTTTTCTTTCAAAGGTTATAGTTTTCATTCCCTTCTCTTGAATCATGGTGACTCCTGACTCTGAGCCAATCAAGTATGTTGCAGATGGTGCTGAATGGCTTGGTCATGTGAAGCAATGCAGCTTTCATCTCGCTAGCAGGAGTGCTTGTACTTGAAGCACTTCACCACAACGTAAGAAATCTGACTACCTTGAGGGAGCCGGCTGACTGGCAGCCAAACCACATGAAGAGGCATCACAGTTTGCAGTTACCTTGGCATCATCCCAGCTTGAGCACTAGCTGTGTGAGTGAGATTGTACTGGACCCTTCGGAGTAGCTGAGCCCCACTGGCTGAGCCCCACTGAATAATTTCAATGCCTTGGGGGTAGATTTCATTCTGTGTATGTGTTTCTAATCCTGAGAACCTGTGAGCATGATAAAGTTGTGGGTTTTTTTTTTATTTTATTTTAGTTTTAGTTTTGAGGTTTTAGAGTAGTTGTTGGGCAGGGATGTAAGCTGGAACATAGACGTGGGTAAAACGGGCAGAACTAGAATCTGCAGGAGAGTGGGAAAGCTGGGAATGGGAGCAGAAACACCAACACTTAGTTCCCTGAAGGAGTGGAAAGATGAAAGGATCGGGAAGGACATTCATGAATTTTGCGAAGTGGGGACTTGACATCTGACCCCCAGTTACTGTGGATCACACACTTATGTCTGTGTGTGTCTGGACGAGGTTGGTGTTGGAGTCATCAACCTAAATTTGAGATATTAGATGCAAAGTGATTATTTTTTGTTGCTTTCCACTCCAGACTTTCTATAAATGTTGGTTAGAGCTTGTGCAATTTTTTCACAATTTTTTACTTGAGTAGTAGACTGTTTATATTTTTTGTATTTATTGTTTTTCAAAAGCATTTTCTTATATCTATTTTTGAAGGATTAAATTTTCATTGCTGTTTTTCAGCATCCAAATTTTTCATTTATTTCAATTACTTTTCCCCGTGTCATCTTCTATTTCCGAACTTGCTTTTTTCATTGTTAGGCTCATTGTTTAGGTCTGCCATGTGTGAATGGGAAGCATGCTTCATACCATTAAATGACATGTCTTTCTTTTGTTAATTGGGCATTTCAGAGTTGTTTGATGGTAGACAGTATTCAGGTGTTTTCCCCCCATAAATTCTGCAAGCAAGTGCCTGGTTTTCACCAAATTTATGGAAGTACGTGGACTTTTGCTTGTTCTTTCGGGCATTGTTTGGAGGGAGTCAAGCACAAGGCCAGTCCAGGGTCAGCCTGTGTGTGCAAGTGTGGCTCTGCTGCTGGTGCTCTGGCTTATGCCTGTGTGCGGAGTCAGCAAAAGACTCATTGTGAAACAATGCGCTCAGAATTGAAGAAAGATTGGTGTGGTTCCCCTCCCTCCCACAATTGAGCATGCTGTGGTTATTTCTCCTGATCTTTTTGGCAAGTGTTGTTTGTGTGTGTCAAACTGTGCCACATCAGCCTTAAGTTTCTGCTTTGTATAGTTCAACTAGGAATTAGTAAAGAAGTATTTATAATCAAATTGTATTCTCTATTTTCCAAAATAGATTTATTTGTATGATCTCATTTTAATCTCCAGTGACTTTCACAGGACTGGCTGTCTGGTTCTGTGTATGGGGGGGGGGGTCCCTAGAACCTAAGTGACGAGGCTGAGGCCACACAACTGGGCAGTCAGGGAGCCAGCACGCAAATCTACAGCTTCTGCACATAGTGCTTTTGCCACTGTAGCATTCTCAGAAGTGAGTTCTGCCATTACTACTGCACACCAATAGTTTGCTTCTCTGCAGAAGTAGGAGAACAAATCACCACACAGTAGGCTGCTCATGTTGAGAAAGCTGTGACGGGGTGAGAACTGGTGGTGGCCTGGTGAATAGGAGGTAACCACAGCATTGATTACTGGTGTTTTCTGCCGTGCAACAGCTGGGAAAGGTGGTGGTCAGTCCGATGACAGCTGATTGACAAACGCCCCAGGAAATTAGCTTGGAGAGAGATATTGTTTATTTAGGCTCATGGTTTTGGAGGTTCCGATCCGTTGCCCTTGCTTTGTTGGCTAAGGCAGTGTGTTGTGGTGGAAGCAGAGGCACTCACCTCAGAGAGAAGGCAAAGGAGAGGAGAAGAAAGGGGCTGGTGTCATGTCCCCAAAGACCTAAAGACCTCCCACTAGGTCCCACCTCTGAAAAATTTTCACCAGCTGTAAACAGGGCCAGAGTGGATTCAAATCATAGCCGGAAGTTAACCGAAAAGCTTTATTCATGTGTAGACGTCTCTTAGACCCGAGGAGCAGCTTATATTTGGTTGTTTTGTTTATGGGATGGAAATCACAAGCAGAAGATGGTGAAGACAAGGTGATGAGTTAGACATTTTCATAGAGATGAAAGCTGTTTCTTTAAGATGTGGAGACTAGTCTTTCTGGTGGTGGTGGTAGTGGGTGGGGTGCTGGGATTGAATCCAGAGCTGTTAAATCTTAAACCCGCTGAGGAGTCTCATAGTCTCTCTCTCTCTCTCTCTCTCTCTCTCTCTCTCTCTCTCTCTCTCTCTTTCTCTCTCTCTCTCTCTCTCTCTCTCTCTCCCCGCCATGAAATTCTTCTGTTTGGGAGTACAGACAGTATTAAGAACGAAGAGTGCACTTTAGAACTTCTTCCACTTTGTTGCTTTTACTCTGACACCGATGTTTAGGTAACCGTAACCAGCAGTCCGTTCATGTATTCTGTATACTAGAAGTTGATAATTTTCATCCCTCCGCCAAGAAAGCTATGTTTTTTGTTGCTTTTGGAAAGGGTTCGAAATACTTTTAGAGCCACTTTTTATTTATTTTAAACCTAATATTTGTTCCTCTCCTCCAAGAACAATTCTGCTTATTTTCTAAAAAGTTGATTTTTTTTCCTTAAATAATATGATCATTATTATTCACAGGAAAAATAACACTGTGACCCATGTTACTATGTTAGGGTTTTAGTGTCCCTTATTTTGTAGTATTTTTTTTAAATATTTATTTATTATGTATACATATTCTGTCTGTGTGTCTGCCTGCAGGCCAGAAGAGGGAATCAGATCTCATTTCAGATGGTTGTGAGCCACCATGTGGTTGCTGGGAATTGAACACAGGACCTTTGGAAGAGCAGGCAATGCTCTTAACCGCTGAGCCATCTCTCCAGCCCTATTTTGTATTATTTTTTAAAAAATATTTTATATCTTTCTGAAAGAAAGCTAATTATTAGTTTTGAAAGACAGCTAATTTAGGTCTACTTTAGTCTAATTAAAAAACTGGAAAGCTGATTTATGATACAAAGTTCAGATTTTCAAATCCATATCTCATTGAACAATCAGGCTGTAGGCATTTATTGAAACTTTATTCTGTTCCTAAAAACAAAACATAAAAATGAAGATATTTAAAGGGACTACGAATCATTTTGACTTGTAAAGTAGAGAGACCTCTTTAGTTTGGCCTTCTGGGCTGAGGAAAGAGAGAAAACAGTTTAACAACTGCTGACCTGAGTAGAGGCTGCATCTACTTCCTTCCGTTCACCCGGAGCTGCTCCTCGAGCCGGCTGCCATCATTGGCATGTTGTGCTAATGACAGAAACAAGCACATATATGTAAGCAAGGCACTGGGACACAAGCCTATAATACTAGCGCTTGAGAGGACTCAGGGGTTCAAGGTCCATCTCAGCCTCAAGTGAGTTCAGAGACAGCCTGGGCTACCTGAGACCTTGTCTAAAAAGAAAGAAATAAAATAAATCATATATGTAATCACAGGTGTCTTGGAGGTTCCCTAAACTGAGTAAGAAAGAGTAGGAACTGGGGGACAAGACTTAGAAAGCTTGTTACCCAGCTTTGTATTTAAAGTCAGATAACCCTAAAGCAGGTAAGATAGTATGCCTGTTTCTCAGGGAAAATTGAAGCTATGGTATGTGTGTAAAATTCCCCCTTTACACTAGTGTGGCTAACTGCTCTTCAAAACCGTCCTGGTATTTGCTATATAATGTAAAAAAAATAACAGGGCCAGCTTCCTCTCAACCTCATTTCTCATTGTGTTCACGTGACTATTAGTCACTTGTATTAATCTGAAATGGTATTTAGCAGCTCACACCAACAGAACAGAACCGTCAGTTTGTGGCAGATGGTTTTATTTTACAGGCTTCTAAATGGTGCATCTAACCTTCTTTTGGCCCCCCTCTCCATAAGCATTATGCATGTTATAGCCAAATAATAACCTTTTCATATATAGCTGTGTAGGTAAAAGGCATTTAAAAACACTGAAGATTATATATAAAATTATAAACCATACGAGGTAGGAAATATTATTATTAGGAAATAAAGATTTCCTAAATGTAAGTATGAGAAAATGCAGAACCCATGGGATATAGGATTTTAATTTTAGTTTGTATTTCCTATTCAAAGGCAAAACATTTTCAGAATTTTAGATGCAGCCTACTGCATTAACTTTAAATGAAGGGCTGGAGAGATGGCTCAGTTGGCTCACTTGCTGCTCCTGCAGAAGACTTAGGTTCAGTTCCCAGCATCACATGGTAACTTACAACATGTGGTAACTCCTGTTTCAGGGATCCAGCACCCTCTTCTGACCAGGCATACACATACTGCACAGATAGATATGCAGGCAAAACATTCACATACAAAATAAAAAATTCTAAAATCTTCTTTTGTCTACACATAGTAAAAGTAAGTAGAACAGTTTCTAGTACATTCCAGTTTTTAATATATCAAAACAAATTTCAAAGCAACATTATTAAATGATCTGCTATGTATATATGAGATATAGATCATATACATATCACACACACACACACACACACACACACACACACACACACACACGCACACACAAACACTCTGAGGCAGAAGGCCCTCACACCAGACCATTCAATTCACTGTAGCATAGCAGGCTTTCTCGGACTGCCAGTCCCCAAGTCATGACACAGAGACTTATTTTTAGTTATGAATGCTTGGTCCTATTTTATGCTTGTCCCACTAGCTCTTATAACTTAACCTGTTTTTCTTCAACTCTGTTTTGCTTCAGGGCTTTTTACTTTTCTTTCATTCTGTATGCTCCACCTCCGTGCTTCCTCTGTCTCTGTCTGTCTGTCCCAGGGTGCTTCTGTCTCTTTCTCCCTCATTCTCTTTTCTTTTGAGCTTAGATTTCTCCTCCTACGTATTCTCCTTGCCTGCCAGTATCCCCTTTCCCTCCTCTGCCTAGCTATTGGCCATTCAGCTTTTTATTAGACCATTTAAATGTTGTAGACAGGCAGGCAAAGCAACACATCTTTACATAGTTAAACAAATGCAGCATAAACCAATGTAACAAACCTTCACATAGTTAAAGCAATATTCCACAGCATTGTAGCTGTCTGGACTTCTGTAGTCTCTCTGGCTTTGTTCCTCCTGCTTCACCGCATTGTCTAGCTGGAACTCATTCTTCGGGAAGACAGGACAGATAACGCTCTGCAGAGCTCTCAGCCGTGTCAGAAGAGCTCGGGACCATGCACCACGACAGGAAGCCTCTCCTCTGCATGCACTAGAAGAGGAACTGACAGGAAGAGACAAGAGAAGAACTTGTCAATGCTGAACATATCACTCACTGCTCAGTGTATCACTGTTAGGGAGAGCAAAGCATTTATTCTCCTCACAGCTCTCAGGCCGCGTCCCATCACGGAAGGAAGGCGAGCAGGAGCTCAAAAATGGCAGGAACTTGAGGAATGCTGCTGCTGGCTCGCTGAGTCTGCTTTCTTACATAGTTCAGAAACACCTCCCCAGAATACCCACTGTGCTGTGGACCCTCTCACGTCGATCATTAATCAAGAAAATGCCCTACCAGTGATCTGATGGAGGCATTTTCCCAGTTGAAGTTTCTCTTCCAAGATAACTCCAGCTTCTGTCAAGTTGACAGAAAAACTAACCAGGCCATTCAGCCACTTGGTGTCATCATTGATGTTGGGATTTTCTATGACATTAGAAAAATAGGCTAATTATCCCAAACCTATAGGGTTGTAGTGAAGAGAGGCCCCATAGCCAAACACCACAATCAAGTCCACCAGCCCAGTGACTCGTAGCATGACAAAGCTCTGGTTCACTCTGGCCTTGGCCTTGACTTTCACCAGGAGGTCAGTCATGCAGTGTTTCTTGTACATGAACCAGTTAAACTGTTCTCTCATGGCTGCAGATATAGAAAATAATATTAAATGCTTTGTGTGTGTGTGTATGTGTGTGTGTATGTGTGCGCGTGTGTGTGAGATGTGTTTTCTTTTGGGAGGTGTATGTGGATGAATGTGCACGTGAAGACCAGAAGTCTCTGTTGGGTGCCCCCTTCAGTTACTATCTCTCTTATATTACATTGTATTTATTTTGTGTTTGTGTGTGGGTTGTGTGGAGGTCACAGATTAGCCTGTAGGAGGCAGCTCTTTGTTTCCACTAGGTAGACATTGCTCTCAGGTTGTTAGTCTTGGTCGCCCATTCCTTTACCAGCTCATCTCAGTGGCTCTCCACCTTGGTTTTTGAGACAGAGTCTCTTACTGACTTTTGCAACTGATTTGACTAGTCTGTTTTGCAGAAGACACCAAGAATCTGCCTGTCTCCCTCTACCTCCCAAGTACTCGGATTACAGGTGGGTTCTGAACTCAGGTCTCATGCTTGCATGGCAAGCACTTTTCCAACTGAGCCACACCCCTAGTCCACTGTACTTTTTTTTTTTTTTTAAATTTTCGAGACAGGGTTTACTGTGTAGCCCTGGATGTCCTGGAACTCACTCTACAGATCAGGCTGGCCTTGAACTCACAGAGATCCACCTGCCTCTGCCTCCCAAGTGCTATGATTAAAAGCATGTGCCACCACCGCCCAGCCACTGTACATTTTTAAGAATAGCATGTGACCAACTTTCTAACCTCTCACCCTACTAGGTGGGTCTCAGATTTATGATTTATGTCTTATTACCTGGCCTCATATATTTTTGTTTTTTTAATTATATTTTTTTATTTTTAAATTATAAAATAATTTTGAAACACCCTCTAAAATAACTTTGGTAGTTTCTTATAATTTGGGAAAGATGAAAGAAGAAAGCTTAAAGATCAAGATAAATTATAACTCGAGATGGTAAAGTAGATGAGATCCATGTAACTAAACTCTGATCATTCTTCAAAAAATAAATTCACTTTTCACTTAAAAGTGTACTTAAAGCCAGACATGGTGGCACACTTCTGAGATACTTGGGGGATAGTGGCAAGAGGATCCCAAGTTTGTGGAAAGATCTGGCTATCTATCAAGTTCTAGACCAACTTGTTATAGATACTAAGACCCTATCTTAAAGAACAGAACAAAATAAAAATAACAGCAAAAAATGACTTACAGTTTTGATAGAGATGAAATTATCAAATATTTTAACTTTAATATACATTTAAAGAGGCAAACAGGTAACACCAAAACCAAATTAGAATATTTTCTTTTCAACTTACTAACCTTTAACATTTCTTGAGAGAACTGGATTTGTTAGAATTTACGTGATTGATCCTAATAATTAACTCAGTGGAAGAATTTTAGTGTTTAGAACTAAGAACCTTTTGACATCATCTAATTACTGCACATGATAGCAGTTTCTTAATAGTACCCTGGTAAGTGGACAGAAGGCTGCCGTCACTATCAGGGACCTTACTCTCCATGATCCAATATTACAGTTCTCATTCAAACAATATATACATTTTGTCCTGAGGACATAACGATTGTATTTCCTCATCTACATGGCAGTTTTATGTGCTGAAAGGAACATTCTCCAAATGCTTGTCTAACTTTGTTTCCTGTACCACAATTTCTTTGATAGTAGAGGTCTTTTTAACAAACGGGATTTCTAGAATTACTGCAGTAGTTGTCTGCATTAAGGAGGTGTGCATAATGGCAGCAGCCCTTCCATGAAAGAAATCACGGCTGCATTAGTTAAGGAAAATGGAAGAGTAACATATTCTGAAGATTACTCTTATTATTGTATGGGTACGAGGTAAAACTCAAAAGTTGATTATACAACTTTTATATATGTATCAAGTAGATTTGTAGTAAACCATCAATCATGGAAAGTTTCTAGTGTCATGGTTTTTATTGTTTGCTGAACTTCTTTCTGAATGATTTGGATGCACTTGCTCTAATATGGAAACAATGTTAGAGAGAGTTCTTATGATGCATTTCAACTTGTCCTAGTAGTTCAGGATGTTAGATTAGAAATAGTGCATGCAGTGAATGTGAAGTCTTTCATTCATCTCATCACAGTAAAAATCCATCAAGACAAAATCTCAATTCTTAGCATCTGTGCCCCCAATAGTAGGGCACCCTCATATGTAAAATAAACATTACTAAAGCTTAAATCTCACATTAAACCCCACACACTAATAGTGGGAGACTTCAACACCCCACTCTTACCACTGGACAGGTCTGCCAGACAGAAAGTTAACAGAGAAATAAGAGAACTAACAGATGTCATGACTCAAATGAACTTAACTTAGCATCTATAGAACATTTCACCCAAATACAAAAGAATATACCTTCTTCTCAGCACCTCATGGGACCTTCTCTAAAATTGACCATATACTCAGTAACAAAGCAAACTTCAACAAATACAAAAATTGGAACAACTCCATGTATTTTATCTGATCACCATGGCTTAAATTTAGAATTCAACATCAACATGAAATGCGGAAAACCCACAAACCCATGGAAATTGAACAGTGCTCAACTGAATAACCCCTGGGTCAAGGAAGAAATAAAGAAATTAAGGACTTTATTTATACTTGGTAACAAAACAAACCTCAACAGATACAAAAAATTGGAACAACCCCATGTGTTTTATCTGATCATCATGGCTTAAAGTTAGAATTCAACAACAACATGAAATGCATAAAATCCTTAAACTCATGGAAATTGATCAGTGCTCAACTGAATCACTCCTGGGTCAAGGAAGAAAAAAAAGAAAGAAATTAAGGACTTCCTAGAATTCAGTGAAAATGAATGAACAACATACCTAAACTTATGGGACACTTTGAAAGCAGTGCTAAGGGGAAAGTTCATAGCACTAATTGCCTGCATAAAGAACCTGGAGAAATCTCACACAAGTGACCTAGCAGCATATCTGAAAGCTCTAGAATAAAATAGAGGCAAACTCACCCAGGAGGAGTAGATGCCAGGAAATAAGGGCTGAAATCACTAAAATAGAAACAAAGAAAGTACTACAAAGAATCAATGAGACAAAGAGTTGGTTCTTTGACAAAATCAACAAGATAGACAAACCCTTAACCAAACTAACCCAAAAGGCAGAAAGAGAATATGCAAATTAACAAAATCAGAAATGAAAAGGGGGGACATAACAACAGACACAGGAAATCCAGAGAATCATCAGGTCATACTTAAAAAAACCTGTACTCCACAGAATTGGAAAATTTAAAGGAAATGAACAATTTTCTGGATAAATATCACTTACCAAAATTAAATCAAGACCAGATAAACAATTTAATTTTTATGTTTAGTTCTTTGATAAAGAAAAACAGTTAAGTTATTAAAAAGACTGGGAAGAGATAGAATGAGACAAGACTCCTGGAAACACAGTCTCGTGGTGGATTAATGGAATACTGGGTCCCTGGTGCCACACAACCAAAACAGGGCATCGTTGTTACACTGTAAAAATTAATAAGCACTTTTTTTTGAGTTTTTGAGACAGGGTTTCTCTGTGTACCAATTCTGTCTTGGAATTCACTCTGTAGACCAGGCTGGCCTCAAACTCAGAGAGATCCGCCTGTTTCTGCCTCCCTAGTGCTGGGATTAAAGATGTGCGCCAGCATTCTTAAGTCTTTAATTATTAGTGTTAAACATGTTCTGGTTGGTGTGTATATACATACATATACACAAATACATGCACATGTCATACACATATATAGTAAAATGTGTGTGCTTTATGATAAGGTTTTGTACACTGACCGTGTGTGCATTGATGGCCTTTAGGTCTCATATTTATAATCAGCTTATCCCCCTCTACTTTTTATTCTGCCTTCCTTTCCTCGTCCTTATCCTCTCATTCGTTTTCCTGACTTCATTTCTCCTCCTTCTCCCCACTCTTTGTTCTTTCTCATTGTTTTCAGTTTATAAAGAACCTGGATCATTTGTCCCATAGTTTCCTATAGGCTGAATGTAGATCTCTTTATTCTGTGTGTCATTTAAATACATCTTTGCTTTTGTATATTCTGTATGGATTGGTGATTTTCTCTAGAAATTTGTTGTACTTCAGGTTTGTCTTTCTGGCATGACTATTTCTTAAGGTAGGGTATCTTCATATTAAGAGCTCTATAATGCCTGGTCGTCCTGTTGATTGGTGCTGAGGATTACATTGAGGCTTTCTGTATCCCAAACACACACTCCACCGCTGTGCAAGCCCATCTGTCACATACAGCTTCTAATGGTTTTCCTTTAGATCACTAATGTGTTAGAAATTACAAAATGCACTGG